AAAAAAAAAATAAAAATATAAAATACAATAAATGTAATATGTCAAATGAATTACCAACCATAAACCCATACTCTTCAAGTTTTTAGTGCAAAAATAAATTCAAAGAACAATTATAGATAGTCAAATATGTTTTTATTACCTATTGAGTATTGCCTAATACGAACAATAATAATAAAAAATATATATATTTGTTTAGGCTGTTTACTTTAGGTTGTAAGTAAAATCCATGTACTTATTTTAAGTACCTATAGTTTTACACTTATACATAAGTATATCATAAGTATTTACTTCATAATTTTTTTAAATGTAAATTGTTCATATTTTCTATGAAGTTTATTGAACTATTGGTGAATACTTTAAACTAGACTTTAAATTCTGTTTTAAATATGTTTATTTACAATTGCGGCATATTATAATGAATTATTAATAATTCATCTGAGCAGAAGTGCACTTTTTTTTAAATGAAAAAAATCGTAATATTAAAATATTGAATAGATAATGAACGGCCAATAGGCAATTTTTAACCTTCATATTAAATCGATGACAAAGAAATATTTCATTATTTATCAAAGAAACACGGTTAATATTATGTACGATTTTCAATATTAAATTATAATAAGCTATTAGACACTATAGTGAAAATTTAGAAAATGTAAGCTACTTATCTCAATTTACTGACTGTAAGTATAATATGTATCTTATCACAAGGACGTCCACAATTTAGGCAGAGAAACAACTCTCCATACCTTTTGCTTGGACATGATTTTCAAATTGAATGCGTTTTTTTATAACGAACTAAAAATTCATCTATACTATACAGGTACAATTGTTATAAATTAATAGAAAATTATATTTTGTAAAATATTAATATTATCGTTTATCAGTTATATTAGTAATTATTGTTAAATCATTGTAAAAAAATAAAAACCGAATACATTTGTTTTTATAAATATGTATACTATATTATATAATTAGACATCTATAAGTATGTACGTACCTACATAATATTTAAAATAATTTATATAGTTCTTACCTACTTAAGAAATAAAAATTTTTTAAATGATATTAAAAACCACAGTGAACATATAGGCGATACGAATTTAATAAAATTAAATCATTTTAATATAAATAATGTAGCTTAAAACGGAACAACTTTCATAGTTAAAATTACAATGAAACATTGAAAAATATTATACACACAGTTATCTATTATAATAAAAAAATAATTTAATATAATGTATTTCATCTCAACTCCTAATAACATTGCATGACACGTTCAGCAGTTACCGGGTATGTTTATTGATTACGACAAATAACAAACCCGTTTAATTGTATATAATAACTAATAAGTATATCTACATTCTACATTCAGTTACTGAACTGCCACCTATATACATATAATATTTATACACTAAAGTGTGTTCAATGATAAAGGTAAGACAAAATATTTCGAACACGTGACCCTGAACTTCATTCGCGTTTTTTTACTGCGTAAAGGATTTATTAGTTAATAATACTTACATTCATTTTGTTTAAATAATAGGTAAGCATGAAAACTTTTTTGAATAGAAGAATTGAACCCCTTTTTGACTTAAAATTTGAATTAAATTAGTTTTTTAAACAGCTTTAACAGTTTTTTTCCTTCTTAAAAAATTGACTTCAGTTTATCTACAATTGTAAAAAATTCCACGTGACTTCGTATTTACACCACACATAAGTTTTCAAAAAAATCATACGAAATCACATGGAACTTGGCAAAATCGCAGATAGATTGTAAATAAATTGAAAAAATATGGTAAATGACTGCAATGTAAATCTAAACTAAACTCACTCTCAATTACACGTACATTTTTAAGATGGAAAAACATTATTTCAGTTATTTAAAAAAAAAGTAATTCAAATTAGAACTCATAAAGGTATGATGATTAATTCAATTTAAAAAAATTATTTTGTTGTGTGGAAAAAGACTAAATTGTTCAATAATAAGTGTAATATTAAGTTTGTTATGTAGAAATAAAAAACAAAATGAAATTCAGGGTCAGGTTCGAATTATTACGTGTTACTTTTATCGTTATTCACACTATAATAAACGTTGTGAATTTCGCTGATAATAATAGGTATACTTAATTAATAATTTCCAACACTTATTGAACAATAAATCTAGATCGTAGACAAGAAATTAATATTTTTAACTATTATTTTATATGCTGAATTAAATGAGGTTTTCATTAATTTTCATATGATGTTTTATTTTACCATTGCGGTCTCTGAATACATATGTAGATATGTATTAAATTTTGATGACACCAGAAAACTTCTAGAATTTTTAAAGTAGTCCTCTAAAAATATTAATTGATGATCCCTGGCTTAAACGATTATCAATAACATGTTTAAAGCAAATTTTAAATAATTACTTTTTTTCTGCGGAACTTAATCTAAAATAAGTGAAGTTTCAGCTGTCACCTATCCTTATAATACAACACTTAATTCTAGGAATTTTTTACTGATTTTTCCTGTTCTGCTTATTTATAAATAAAATACCTATGTAGACAATTTTTGATATTGATTCATATCCTTATGAGGGATCGTGTGTTAAAAATTAAATAGTGTAGATAATACACACATGTATGTTGAGTTTTCACTAAATTATAATTATAAATTAATAGATGTCTACAATAGTCAATAGATATGTTTAAAATCTATAAAAAAAATATCAATGAGTGATAAAATAATACTTAAAAATGTAAAAGGTTCAAAAAACAAATGTACCCATATAGGTTAGGTTAGGTTATGACAAAAGAAAATTTTAAAAGAGGTAGATGAAGACCATAAAGCTTTTCGATTTCGACTTAAGAGTGGCCCTTTCTGCACACGTTTCTTAAAAATAAATATTATAAAAGATGTTTGAATTTTTTCAAATAATTTTTAAAAAAAACATTTACTTTGATGCAATATTTTTTAATGGTCACTAGTTGATACATTAGAATATAATGGATCCCCGGGAAATTTCTCTGTTTTGTATTATGTCTAATTAGTAATTAATAATTTCCAATCTTTAAAGATTAGCCAATTTATAATTATATATAACTAAAATAATATGTAAACAGAATATTTTTTTTTTATAATATAAAACCATATCCTACATCTCAATCTTTGTTCCACTGAAAATTTAGTATTATACGAGTGTTTTGGAGTGAATCTTTTCATGAAATAATATTATTATTGTTGTTCTATGCTTTTATTTTATCGTTTTGTCGTTTTATATTTTCAAATAAGTATAGTTTAATTGAACTGAAAATAAATACGGGTTAGAAGTTAGTAGTTAACGGTATTTTAATTGTATTAATTTTTTTTTAACAATTATTTTAAGTACCTACCTGCATAATTATAATACATTATAACACTTTGACTGCAGTTTTATTTATTGTATTAGACATTAAAAAAGTAGGAATATAATATTAATATAATAATGTAATTTATAGAAGCCATAAGTGCAAATAGAAGATACATTTGTTGACTCAAACCAAATAACACAAAAAATAAAAATCTAAATCTAAATCCTTATCAAAAATATTTCAGTAAGAAATGTAAAAATGTATAAATTAAAGTAGTTGAAATAATTATTACCGAGCAGTGAATGCTGGAAAAAAAATATTTATGTATTTTTATTGTCGACCGATTACTATTATAGTACTATGATATCATTGATAATACAATTTATAAATAGTTATTAATACAAGTGTTATTGGTTCTAAGTATATAACAGTAAAATACGGTGTTTATAAATGAATAATCAATGATAATAATATTATGTTTACCATATATAGTATATACACCTCTATCAGCATCTTAGCAATTTATTTCATATCTACGTCAACCAATAACTATACTCCAATACGTCATAGGTAGTTGGTCTAATATTCTACAATATAATATATAGAATATTAAATAGATTATTTTAATATAGTGATTAGTGGTGCAACTAATAATTTTGGTATGCACCACGGCGTATAGAACACACCCCAGACCACCCCCATCAGGTAAATTTATTTGCATTGATTGTATTTTTTTTTCAAAACGTTTATTAATATCATTTTAATAAGAATTGTTTAATTTACAAATATGCCATGTTACAAGGGGGGAGGTCTGAATTAGGGTCCAACTCTTTCGATGCGTCACTGCAGCAAATATTAATATTATATATTTGTTACATTTACGCATTTATGTCTACAAACAAATTGATAATAGTTGTCGTCTATATTATTTTGTTTTATTTTTTTTAAATTTGTACTTGTAAAATATAATGATGTTAATCTGAACAGAATAGGAACATTGTTTGAAACTCTTGTTATGGTCTATTCAATATTGAACTGAATGAACTGAACTCAGGTCCTCCCTCCTCCCACCTACAATTTTAAACGCTATTTGCGTCGGAGCGCATTACCGACGTCTTTTACTATTATTATACTACCAGATTTAATATTTGCCAATAATATAAAAACACACAAAATAGCATAGGTACTGCCTATGAAAAACTTCGAGTTTAGATAAATATAGCAGTACATTGTACATTGTTATATAATAATGTGTAATAATTATATTTATCATCTCGCATATAATTAATTACCTATATGCTTTGAAGTACTCGTAACCCATATATCTATTTCATAATGATGTGTATACTATAACATCAACTACCTGTACTAAAATAGTGCGTGAATAATAATATTACCTAGTATGATACTGATACGTCACGTTCGGATGGTGTAATGCTGATTTTTCTAAATCGTTATGAACGCTACTATTAATACCTAACAATAGGTACTAAAAACGAATACGGTATACTATCTATCACCTATTTACCCAGGCATAGGTACCTATATTGAAGTATAGAGTAAGGTGTGCGTCGCTCTTACCTCGGGGATGCGATCACAATGTGAATGCGATATTGTGGACACTTGACGAAACTTATATGGAATGTATGATATCAATGTACTTACCTAGTACAATAGTATTATGTGTGTGCACTTTTTACACGATGATCGCCGGCCGGTGTTGATGACATTGGTCGAACACAACGACAAGACTTTACCACATGACTATAATACGTTATACTTCACTCGTCGTCGTCAACGCGCGCAGTGTTCGTATAATATGTATTGTTGTTGTTATTATTACTATTTTTTTTTTTTTTTTTTAACGTTATGCTGCCGAGACGATCGAGCCCTGCGGCAACATAATAATATTATAACACGCACGATAACTATTCGGCAGCCGGCACGACCGACGAACATGCGTCGTGTGGCGAGCGCTCAAATGTGTGTGCGTGTGTGAGCTGTGGACTCGGTGGCGGTGCACACTGCACCGTCGGAGAGCACATGGAAACCGGCGGCCATGCGGGGACGACGGTGGCGGTTCGGCGGTTGCACCCGGCACGGCGGCACCCCTACTGCACGTCATCGACGACGGCGACGCCACGTTGTCCGAGACGAACCCCAATTTACACGAAAATGATGACGATAATAATAATAATACTATCGTATCACATTCCGGGCGGAAGCCGATCCTCGTCCGTGCCGGGCCGTTCACAAAATAATGAAGGTATTCAGGCCTCCTACCATGGCGATCGCTCGCTAGCTGGTGCCCATCCGCTCGACTGCTCGAGGTCGTTTTCTTCTCTCGTATATGTACATAAATATTATGTAAGTACGTAATTTACATATCTCTGAGTCGTAATCCGTTTTCCACCCCCGTCCCTTGTCCGCCAACCATGGACACGAATTCCATACTTCCACCACTTGCTGCGGTTATATTTACCTACTTATTAAGCACAACTTTTGCTTGGGAGAGGGAAGAAAGATTAGCGGAAAAAACCTGACCTATGTATAGAAAATGGGCGTTTTATTTTATGGAATTTATAATACCCTAAATAAAGGTCATCGGTGTATGGAAAAATAATTTTAGGCGAAACTTAAACCCATTCGGTCCCAACACTTCTAGTTTGGCTGAGTTATTATTTATAGGTAGTTAATAGTTGTATAAATGAACTATGAACCATAAACCATAACGTCCCTAACAAAGCGAATACCTACATATTTATTTCAAAATTATGTGAGTACCTTGTACCGGCTACCATCATGAAAAAATTAGAAAACTTAATTTCCTTATTACCAATATTGTACAATATTACACTATATGACATTGTTAATATATGGTCGTCAAATGATTAATATTTCTTACTGAGTTATCCCAATTTATTAAGCTTATTAAGATCGTGTTAGCTTAATTAGAGTTATTCAATTTTTCTGCTATTTGCACACAATTTTTCATATTTAAAAAAAGCCACATGGCGTCAATTCACACACATATTAAATATATTTAAACAAATAAATAAATATTTATCTATTACAGTATTGCTTCATCAGCAGTGATACAATAATATAAATACTAAATTTTACTATATTATCATAGTGTGGACAAGGAAGTGGTGCGACGATGGTGCATAAAATCGGCGATCAGATTTATTATAGATCAATTATAGACTATAATAGTTGTATATATCTTGTGCATCGTATAGGTATAATACAGGTTAGGTTATACTCATCAATTTAAATGGGGGAGCTTAGGAGGGCTCAATCCCCTAAAAACTCCTCCTCCAAAGTATTTCCTAACTTAACCTCGTAAATACTAATTGATATTTCTAGTCCCCCCCAGATGTTCAACTAAATTTAAGCCTATAGTTATATTTTTATATAGATTATAGAGTAATAGTAGTACCTACTATACCTATATATTAAATTCGTATGTTGCCGCTAGGTAAGATGTACCCATTATAATAATATGCGAAAATATATTGTAATAACATAACTACATTGAACACACACTTACATAAATATGAACAATATTATATTTTTAAACATTTTTTTTTATAAATCCCTGACCTGATCTTAACCTTGTACATTATACGCCTCTGCTGTATATGTTTGCGTCACACTGTTAGAACTATTACATATAAATGATATAATGTTATCGAAAAAGATCTATAACTAATTGGTATTAATTGTAGGTTCAGTATAAAAACTGAAAATCATATTTTTACTCAAGCTTTTTTTAAAAACAAAACGTCTTATACAACCTCTTAGGACAGTAGGATCTAGGATGTGCAAATCATAACAGTAAAAGGTTATTGATCAAAGACAGAAAAATAATATGATTTTTACTAATGATTAAAATTAAAAAGTAAAATTATAAATTGCATTAAACTATACATTTGTTTTGTTTTAAAATAATAATTGCGCTTTATTAAATTGGTGATATTTATCCACACCATTTACAGGAGAAAAAAAATGATTTAAGAAAATTAATTATTAATTATTTGTATATCCCTACATAGTATATTTTTTGATTGACGAAACTAACATTTTTTGGTTGTACATTTTTTCTGGCAATCACATCTAAAAATTGCTTATTCTTCCGTTAATAAGCAACAGCTTGATGTATTATTATTTATTTCCTGTTGTTGTTTTAAATTTAGAACACCCGATACAAAGAAATACATTTTTATTCGCATTCAATAACTTGGTTCCTCAGTAGGTATCATATATAAATATTAGATATTATGTTATATGGTTTCAAATAAAAGAAATCAGATATTTTATAATATCAATAAATAAAGGTTATTATATTATACATCATCAATGATCAGTCACTATATCGCAATATATTATATTCGATGTATGGGTGTGTAGAAATTGTTTTGTTATTTTTCAAGAAAAAAATGGTTGCAGTCGTTGGACATAGTTTCACAATTATTGTCTCTTTATCAGGTTAATCTAAGTTTTAAGCATATATATATAATCGAAAGTGGCTTGACGGACTACCATCAATATAATAGCGGTGCACTAAGAAAGGATTTATTAAGATTTTCGATAGAAATCGAAATTATGTTTTGTTTATAAATGGTTATCATTATCAGGTACCTGCAGATTATAATGGTAAAAGTAGAAATTAGTATTTTCTTTTTATATACATTATTTTTGGAAAATTTTTGATAAACATATCAAATGTTCTTAGAGATACTATCAGGAAAGTATTAAGAGAGTAGTTTAAACCACTCGTTTGAAAATATACCAAGTGCTATATGCAATCCACCCGAGGTGGATTGTCCATCTCGCCATCTCGCGGTAGAGTTAAATCACAAAGCTAAATAAACCGACGCCGATTTAACCATGAACTGAGCCACTGATGTGCACTAAAATAAAGATATAATCACCCTATAGGCAGACGCCACGGACATACCACAAATGTTGGGCACCTCGCACCTAACTCGACATTATGTATGATGCAGTGATATAACTGCAAGGGCGTACTGTCCCGGGTGTGGTGTAAAAGATAATGGTCACTGGGCACTGCTGTATTCCTAACCTATATTATATTATAATAATATGCCTAGTTGGTCAAAAATATATGGGAATTTTGATCTCCCGAAGTATCAACAAAATGACAAATGCAATTTTCTACAAAAACTACCCTAAAAGTGGAAGATTGAAGCATTTTTACTCTTCCGAAAAAGGTAATGATTATTGACTAATAAATAAATAAGTACTAATGGACTATGACTACATAACAACCTACATACACATCCTTGTAATCCAATGTACACGCTATTCTCTCAAAATCTAAAAAAAATATAGATTCTCCGGGTCATCACCGTATTTCAGAACGTTGACGATTCAATGGTATGTGACTTGCGTGCACATCATGGATATGCTTAGTATTAAAGTTTAGACGCATGATACAAGCAATAAGCAAAAACTGTTCAATGAGAAAACACTTCATTTTAAGAAAAATATTTGAGAGTTTTAAAATTATTGTCTTTTTGATTTGAAATTAAAATATTCCTTTGAAAATAAAAAATTGTGTCCCTATAAGGACACATGAAACAATGCGATTTAAAAAAAATTCAATCATTTACTAATGAGAAATAATATAATTTGCATTTCTTATTTATATAATTATAATATTGTGTCATTGTTAAACATAACGTGTAGATAACAATTATTAATGGAAATCTACACTGTAAACCTATATTTACGCCCACCGGGAATGCCAACTTCCTGGTTTCTATGATAATTATACCGACGGAATTATTAAAAGTTGGTACATTAAAATATAATCTTAATAGCCAATATACCTAGTTAGTACGTGTTGTGTATTATTGTTCGATGGTATTATTGACCAACATATTCATATCTAACTATCTAAGACGTCTAAATAACTATTTCTAGAACGATAAATACATCTAAACAACACGTGATAATAGTAAATACTAAATACTACTGCAGCTACAATGCTATTTATTGTAGTCTGCAATATTATTATTACATAAAATGTATGTTTATATATTATGTACTTATTAGATGATTATCGTATAATACTAGAACAGTTAACACTTCTATAATCTCAAAAAGTATTAATGTTTTTAAAAATATTTTCGTACCTAATTTGAAGTTAAACAAAATTTAAAAAACGATTTACATAACGATATATTTTTTATAATTTAATAAAGTTGAATAATTTGTTTTTAGTTATGTTTACCTTTTTGAATGATGGATTGACTAATGTCAATGATATTTAAATAAATCTAAAAAGTTTTATTATTTAATCTATAGATGTCATATAATATGTACCCAGGTACCCCAAAAAATATCGGTATTATAACTCAATGGCTCGTTCAAGCTTTAAATAACTAGGTAATATACTACTCGTCCGAAATTCGATTTTGACGTAGGTATTAAAATATTCAAAAAAAAATTTTTTACATTGGATATGTGCAATTTAAATTATTTGGTGTCAATCAAAACTTTTTTTGTTATACGGTATAAGGTTAGGTTAGGTTAGGTTAAATTAGGCTAACTTAGCCTTTTTTTTTTTTTTTTTTCGATACCATTAAAAAAAAAAAAAAAAAAGGCTAACCTAACCTAACCTGACTGCCGACCGGTGTGTAATCCGGTGTGTTTGGACGTTTGGTTATGACAGCGAGGCTAATTTTTAGAAATTGAAACATTTGAAACCATAGTACCTAATAACTAATAAGTAATACCACAGGAATGTTTTTAACCATAACTAATAAATTGTTCTATATGCAGTAGCGTCTCTGAAGGATTGTCCCA